CCACTAACGCCAAAAGTGTAGAAAGGAAGTGATAGAAAACAAGAGGGGACAGCCTGCAAAGTGCTGCCGAAGATCTTGGCTAAATTCTTTAACTCTTATTTTTAATATCGTCAAAGGCCGAAAGTTATTTATCCGATCTTCACCGTTTTTGTCCTTGTGCAGCAACATGATTACACCCCTGCTGAAGCGTTAAGGTATAGACCCCTGATTCATTCAGTTCTGGTAAATCAGCCTCAGCAAAGGGGCAAGAACAGGCGAATATCTCCAGTAAGGTACGTAAGGAAGACAATCTGATTCCTGTGTTTTGTCCTGGCCAACATACTTCAATGTTTCCCAGATTTCTGACTGTGATTTTACCTTCACACACAGCCACTTCAAGGCCTCGAGGCAGGGATAGGCACCCATATAGGCGTAGAAAAAAGCATTGCCCAGACCGGTATCCAATGGTGAAAAGAACCTGAAAGCAGTAATGGAAAGCCTCACATATGTCGACGCTTGCTGTCACGGTCCGCCTATGCGGCAATGTGGTGTACGCGATATGTATATCGGATGTATTTCATGTTTCAACTACACGCAATGCTGCGGTCAGATTGGTCGACTCAGGAGACTTTCTTTTTAACCTAACCTAACTATGGGAAATGCTAGAAATAAAACTGTTGAAATATAAGTGGCTATTTCAACAGTAAAAGGTGGGACCTAGATGCCAATCCAGTAAAACGCTTACATTCTTGAATTCTGTGCACCAGCTACAAAAATTTCTTTTTAACATAGTATGGTTGTAAGCCATGTACAATTGAGGTACATGGGACAATTAGAACTCTTAGAGTGGCCAAACATAAAATAATTTATAAAATTCAGAAACGTTAAAATTGTTTTAATATATAAAGTGTCGGAAATCTACAATCAAAATCCAAAGATTTCGCCCAAGAATAGAAATATTTGCATAGGTTATGCAAATATAATAGACAATGAGGCGGTGTAATTGTTAGCAAGCTTGGCTCGCTAGAACAATTACGACGGAATAATGAGATCGATCCTCACTGGGTGCCCCTTAATTTTGGCCTTGTGCCACATCTAAGCTACGCTTGGAAAACCACTATAATAGAAAATGATCTCTGATATTTAAAGTTGTTGATTTCATTTTTTTTAATCTGATGAGGGTGCTTAAATATATTTATCGCTGTGTTTATAAAATTCCTTGCACAAGAATATATAATCTTCCTGCTAAAGAATCATGGTACATGTTGAAAGATTTGATTCAGCTTGTAGCAATCAATGGTGGAATGATGATGGATGCTGTTGATAGTAATTAAATATAGTACACGGAAACGAATCATGTTTAAATGATGTCTCTGGTTTATATCACATAGTAACCATTCCCTGTTTAAAGCAGGCTATTCCGTTTGATCTAAATTAATATTCTCATCTATTTAATCATTTACGGTAGGCATTATCTCACCATTTAAATATGATAATTTATTTATATTTCTGTCATTTGCGTTGATCCCAGTCTGCAGGTAGATTAATGAACGCTAAGCAGAAATAATTGGGAATCCGTCTAATAAGTATGTGCGTAATTAACAGTTACTGACATTTATATATATATATATATATATATATATATATATATATATATATATATATATATATATATATATATATATATATATATATATATATATATATATATATTGAGGAGAAAATGGTCATATAAATGTTGTTCAGTTGAGTTTCATTTCTATGTAATGCACACACACATATACACACATATAATTCATTTTAGGACATTACATCGAAAACATGTCAAAATCGCTACACATTTGCAGGCGTGTTCAAATGCGTATCAATGCATCTCCTCAGTCAATTGTAAATTCAGTAATTTACGATCGACTGATGTGAATTACTGGCGGGTGAAAAATTCATTTAGATGGAAAGGCAAAATACTGCTTCTATTTTCTTTTTTCCATTTTTTTGTAAAAAGAGGCTGTATATGGATTTGAAATCTGAATAAATTGTCCATTCGGCAGTAATTTTCAATCACTTGGTAAGAAGCATTGATACACATCGAAACACGTTTGCTCTTGTGTAGAGATTTCGATATGTATTTTAATAATATTAACTACGAACACGGCCACAATGTGCTAGCTGTGTTCGGAAAAATCCTATTTTATTATAATAAAAATAAATAGACATAATATGTGTAGATTATTTAACCAAACATGCTTCAATGGAGATATGCTGAGTAAATACACACACAAACAGACACAAACATACACACACAGATACACATATATATATAATTGATAATATTAGTAGTAAATATACACATACATATGCAATCATATATCTAAAATATCTAAATATATATACATACATACACATACATATATATATATATTTGTATAAAAAAATAAATCCAAGAGGATGGAATCCAGGTAGAACTCAATGTCCGGACAGAGTAAGGATATAATAAAAAAGGCTTAGACACTAAGCCTTTTTTTCTTATATTTTAATTATATATATATATAAAATCTTAATCTTAAAATAAAGAATATTGTTCAACATTTTATTGAGACCTCTTTTAAATTAAACGTTACTAACGTTGGAAATTTACTCTAATCCTTCTCATCTTATCGACCCTCTGTGGCACCATGCATACCTGACGAGCTGAGAGAAATATTCATACATATATGATTTGTTTTTTACGGTTTGTCAACCATTTAATAATTATTTAAGGCCGAAAATTATTTTGGGTTTTAAGAATAATTCTTTCTTTACATTCAAGCGATCTGGAAGAAAGAAAGAGAAAACGAAGAAGAAAGAAAGAAGAAATAATACGAAAACAGGTCATAGGCGAACACACACACGTACGGCTAACAGATAACAGGTGTCGAAAAATATTCGGGTCAAGCATCTGAGCGATTTCCGCGGAATCCACGAAAAATGGAAGTTTGTTATCAATTGGTTGTCACCCAAGGAAAAAGAAAGAAAGGAGGAAAAGGAGAAACCAAGTTTAGGGACAATGAAAATATTGATAAGTAACAAGTGGGAAGTGTGTCATTGGAATGATAGTAAAGGTCTAAGTGGGTGGGGAAGTGTATCTAAGGATATGAAGAAAAACCATTAATGCGAAAACACAGATAGTCTCCAGAATTAGAAAAAGCCACTCAAGCTGGTCGCTGGCAAAATTTTTTTTTGAGATAATAAAGATTTTTATTATCAACCTTCGAGCGGAGGAAAAATGAACTATTTTTATTCCGTTTCAGAAACGCCAACGAGTCTGAGAAATTCCTTTCTTAGATCATATCTAATTAGCGATAAACTGCTTGACAAATACCACGTGTTAAAAAGCCGAGAGGGTCATCTCAGTCGCTCATGATAAGGGCGATTTAAATTAATATTTTTGTTTTTTAAGCAAGGTGTTTCTTTCCCAAAACAAAGCCACGGATTGCCCACGCCCGACTAAAGACGTCATTGGCTAAATAAGATCACGTGACGCACGAGGAGAATCGGTCGACGCCCCTGTCAGAAGTGTAAGTGTAAGGAGCCGATAAGAAGAAGCGGGGAAGCGGGTACAGTAAGGGGGTGGAAATGAGAGTGAGTTACCGAAAATGGAAAAGAATGAAAAATCCCTAACCCGAAATAAGAAGGGTGGATACGTATTTAGAATTATCGAAGAACCCCTGGCGCCGACAGACCCACCCCAGTTTTGACGGCGTCAATAAAAACGAGACCCCAACCGACAGAAATCAGTTCAGCCGCGGACGGCGGGAGAGTTCAGCCGCGGACGGCGGGAGAGTTCAGCCGCGGACGGCGAAAGAGTGCAGCCGTGGACGACAAGCAGAGATGAACGCCCAGTGTTGAAACCGCGTCAAGATAGCTGACCAAGATTCACGCACACTTCTGGACACTTCTTCAACCAAGAACAAGTAGTTTGAAGAGCGACTTAGAATCAAGACCACAGAAATAAGTTTTTTTTTTCTTCGACTTTCGTCCAAAGACACACCGAAACACAAATTTCTTAGAGAGCATACAACTTGAAGCCTTAAAGTTGCCTAGTAAAAGCGTCGTGCCACAATCCACAGAACGGGTCGGGAAGTAGACATAGTCCTATGTACCGAGCAAATAGACATAAAAAGTTTGTTACATTTTTCTTTGATACGTTGGACCTTGTGAGTTTTTATTTTATTTTCTTTTATACATAATTGTGTGTTATCACCCCCGTTGGACTCAACTTGCATTACGGCCCCAACCCCTGTTTGATCTCGTCTAAGTTCAATTCACAACGCGGGTAGGCAGACTGGGGATCAGTGCAGTTACCCTGGTAACCAGGCGTTGGACGCGGGTTGGGAACGGCGAGGCTGGTATCAATCTAACCAAAGGGTTAGAACGTCACGTTTGGAGCAGCGAGGGCGAACAGCTGACGCCGCAGCGAAGACGTCACAGTTGGTGCTGTCCGTGACCAGGATATCAGAGCCTGGGGAGCACGTGACGTCACAATTGGCGCCGCGACCGGGATCGAACGACACATTCGACGCTGCGACCGGGGACGACGTCACAATCTCTCTCTCTCTCTCTCTCTATATATATATATATATATATATATATATATATATATATATATATATACATCTTAGTGGTACATTTACTTTTGCGCAGCACTATATATATATGGTAGTTGGTAGAGTTCAGAAAAGTTAAGAGTTCGTACTTGCGTGAATGTTGGTAATGTTCCTTAACGTCAGACCGCAAGGTCAAGACGAGAGTTCTTGAAGATTACATCTTGGCAGCAAGGAAGGAGACGAAAGAGAAAACAGACGGAGAAGACTTACTCGTGTTTTGTTTATGTAAGGTAGTGTATCACGTGACAGGCTCCGAATTATTTCTCGCGTGCCGGCGATATGATTGGTCGGAATTGACCAATCAGCAAGCTAGTTTTGAGAAGATTATCCAATGAATGCTGGTCGTATGATCTGTATGTATGTATGTATGTGATGGTGATGACAATCACTACAGCATCTTCTCCCTTGTTGCGCCGAGAAAGGTTTGTTTACTTCCAGTCACATTTTGCAATTATGGTTCTCGATCTTCCGTCCATTTTCTGAAGACGATAAAGTGAATTTAACGCATGTTGTTTTTTTCTCTATTTAATCTTCTTCGATAGATTCCTTTCTTATTAATTCTTTCCTTTTTCTTCTCATTTTACATTCTTTTAGTTCTGCTTCTATTTTTCGGTTTTTTTTTCTTCTAATTATCCTTTTCCTATTTGTCTATATAGGTTTTTCCTTCAATTTCTAATTCTTTTTTTGATTTTTTGTCCTTTTAATTCTTCTACGTTTTCTTTTACTTCAATTTCGTCTTCTATGTTTTGGTTCTTTTACTATTTCTAAACCATCTTATACGTCGTCGTTTTCTTTTCTTCTTCATTTGATCCCTACTTTATTCTAGATTTAATTATATTCCTACTTGATTCCTTCATTTAAATCTAGATCATTTCATTTCCTTCATTTTAACCTTCTTTTAATTCTACTAATTATTTTTCACTTCTTATTTATTGTCTTTTTACTCTTACTACTTCTTCTCTTCGCCCAGAACCTCCTCCTCCCTCTTCTTCTATTTATCCTTTTTTTCTTTCGCTCAGTTGTTTTTCTTTTCTTTCTTCTTCTAGTGATATTCTTTTTGTTTTTATCCTTCTCATACCTCTATTTCTTTTTTGTTTTGTTCTTGTATTCCTCCATTTTTCCTTCTAAATATAATGTTTGTTGCCGTTCTTTTCATTGCAGTTCTTCTTCTTCTCTTAATTCTTCTTTTTTTCTTCTCTTCTTCATAAATCTTTTACCCCGACTGATAATTAACTTTCTTTTCTTCCTATTTCTTTATCTACTGAGTCTTCAAATTCTTTTTTCTTCACCAAATTCTCCAATTGCAACTAATTCGAAATCTTCTTCAAATTCTTATTCAAATACTTCTCCTGCTACTACAACTAATATAATACCACTAATAGAATAGCTTCTTCTTCTTCTTCTTCTTCTTCTTCTTCTTCTTCTTCTTCTTCTTCAAATTCCTTTTCTACTACTATTACTACTAATATGTTTGTTGCTCTTCTTCTTCTTCTTCAAATTCGTCATCAAATTATTTTTCTTCTATTTCTTCAAACACTTCATCAAATTTTACTCTTACGAGTACTAATAATAATACTACTAATTCTACTTCTTTGACTCCTTTTAATTCTTTTTCTTCCATTAATATTTATCCTTCTTATATGTCTACTTTATTTCTCTTATTTTCAACCTTACTCTTCTTTTACTCCTAATCCCAGTTCTTTTCATTTCTTATACATATTTATTTTATTCACTCTTCTTCTTCATCTCATTCTTCTTAATTTCTTTACGTCTAATTATTTTATTTTCTTTCTTCTCCCATCCATACATCTATTTCCTACCCCTTTTATTTTTCTATCCTTTTTCTTACTTCGATTCCTTATATTTTTTTCGTTCTTTTAATTCTTCTTCTTTAACTTCGCCATCTATTTGTTTCTTCTTTAAATTATATTTCTTTTTCTTCTTCTTCTTCTTCCAATCTTATTTTTACTGCAACTTATAATTATTTATGCATCGCTTATCTACTAATATGTATGTTTTATTCTTTTCTAATTCTTCTAATGTCATTCCACTTCTATTTATCTTGATCATATCATAATTATTTCTACTTTACTTTCTCCACCTATTTAACATATATCTATCTATCCCACTCTGTTCATATCTATCTATCTATCTATCTATCTATCTATCTATCTATCTATCTATCTATCTATCTATCTCAGTCTGTTCATCATCAATCTATCTATCTATCTATCTATCTATCTATCTATCTATCTATCTATCTATCTCAGTCTGTTCATCATCAATCTATCTATCTATCTATCTATCTATCTATCTCAGTCTGTTCATCATCAATCTATCTATCTATCTATCTATCTATCTATCTATCTATCTATCTATCTATCTCAGTCTGTTCATAATCTATCAAGCTATCGATCTATCTATATAATTTCTTTTCGTTATCTATGTATATATCTATCTCAGTCTCTTCAAATCTATCTATCTCAGTTTCTACATATTTATATATCTATCTATCTATTTATCTATCTATCTATCTATCTATCCCAGTCTGTTCATATCTATATCTATCTAATCTCTGTTAATTATCTATCTATCTATCTATCTATCTATCTATCTATCTATCTATCTATCTATCTCAGTCTTTTCATATCTATATATATCTATCTAATCTATGTTAATTATCTGTCTATCTATCTATCTATCTATCTATCTATCTATCTATCTATCTCAGTCCTTTCATATCTATATATCTATCTAATCTATGTTAATTATCTATCTATCTATCTATCTATCTATCTCAGTCTTTTCATATCTATATATCTAACTAATCTCTGTTAATTATCTATCTATCCACCTATCTCAGTCTTTTCATATCTATATATCTATCTTATCTATCTATCTATCTATCTATCTTTCTATCTATCTATCTCAGTCTTTTCATATCTATATATCTATCTAATCTATGTTAATTATCTATCTATCTATCTATCTATCTATCTATCTATCTATCTATCTATCTATCTATCTTCTAGAACATATTCTTCTAATGCTTCTATTTCTAATTTTTCTTCTTCATCATCTTTATAAGTTTTAGTATTATTTTCATTATAAATAATTACCTCCCTCATGATGCTCCCGCTTACACTTCTGTCTTTCATTTTTATTCCATTTTTGTTTCGTATTTTCTTTTGTTGTTATTCTTCTTTCGCATTTATTCAGTTCCGTGTTCATCTTTTTTTATCTTCATTTTTCTCTTCCATTTTATTTCCCATCGTTTATATATACATTAGCTTTTCTCCCGCATCTTCTCATTTCATCTTGAGCATCTTCCATTATCGTTCTTCTATTCCTGACACAGTAATCCAAAAACGAATAGGCAAGAAAACATACGTTCCTTCTGGAGACAAATACATCTATATGACTGCTAACTTGCTTCTAGCCAATTACACATCAACCATCTTTGTTCGCTCTTTGACATCAGCGATTTTTCTCTGTTAACCTTGGAACCCTCAGCACCTAAAAGAGAAAAATAATCGAATATCAAATAACCCTGAAGAATGCAGAAGAGAATGACACTGTCTAACACGTATCAGGCTGCTGCCTACCATTATTCTATGAATAACAGAAGCGTAAGACACCACGAATAAATATCAGGAAACATTTATATACCTTATATTCGCGGGATTTAAGAAAAATGGCAGAAAATATCACAGTTTCAGTTTCCAGACGAGAATACATATTTTATGATCATTTGAATGAAAAACAATGCAATCACTTTTTCTATATAAGTAATTCTGTTCTCATCTATCAATTTGAATCTGTGTTGGGTGTAACAAAAATAACCTAACAAAATTTGTGGCGTGTTCCTCACACCAAAAGAAGAACAAAAGTCCATATAAACATGTCTGCAAATCCTTTGTTTGTGACTTAATACGTTTCAATTCAGTACACGGTTGATGGCGCAGTGTTGATCTATATACAAGTTTTCAATTTTTATTTGTGCACATTTGTGACTATTCTGTCTTCAATATTTCAGGTGTGTTGTGATTTAACTGAGAAGTACTCCGTTTAACAATGGCAGAGTATTCATATCGTTAGCAGGTAGATATGATTTAAGATACAGTAATGGACGCAAGGCTGCACGGCTGTATCAGATTGCCTTTCCAGACCGAAGACAGCCGAATCAGGCAATCTTTGTTGTTGTTTATCGTCGCGTTGCCGAGACAGATTTCGTGACCCCACAAAATGTGGATCGAGGAAGACCGAAATCTGCTCATACTGGGTGTATGGTATCAACACATGAAAAGTATCCCTAGCATGTCGTACATCTAACAGTAGTGCATAGAGGGTACTTCAAGAGTAGGTCATGTACCCGTATCACTTGTAACGTGTGCAGTGTCTTTCGCGCACAGATTAATCACTTCGAGAGAACTTTTTCGAAGATGTATTGCACATACTGCCGATCGGTTTTTCATCTCATCTGTCTCGATTACGGGTGAGGCAACAATTGGAATAGTTGAATTAATAAATTTACGTAGCCAACATTTGTAGGCGGGTCGGTATTCCCTTGAAAGAGAACGCACACCCAAACTTTGTGAAAGTATTTTTGATACAACCTGTATATTTTTTTTAGTGTCTACCGCTTTTTATATTTAACAATTTTGTCTATCAGTCTATTTTAATCTTTTATCTATCTATCTATCTATCTATCTATCTATCTCTCTCTCTCTCTCTCTCTCTCTATATATATATATATATATATATATATATATATATATATATATCAGTATTCAGTATATATCACTCTATTTTATGATCGAATAATTTTTATTATCTATTTAATGGTCTACATCAATTTTACCTAAGATTCATTACGATTTTGACATCTGTGTTAGGCTACTTAAAATATTCGATCTCTTTCTTTGTTGCCCTATTCATAAACAGATACTCACGAATATATATATATATATATATATATATATATATATATATATATATATATATTTATATATATACGTGAGTGTGTTTATCGCAATTAGTCATTTATGCTCGTCTTGTTATCGACCAATGAAACTTCTTAATGTCATCCTACATCTTCGACAACTTTCCCTTTCTTAACGGGATGAATTTGAAATTAAATTATTCGATATCTTCATAGTTTTGTCACCATTTATTTATACAAACAAACTAACAATATATATATATATATATATATATATATATATATATATATATATATATATACCAATTTTACACATATTAACACAATTTATGCTACATTGATTCGACAAATTATACCTTTTTGTGTATGTCCAAATTTTTCAAATAACATTATGCAAATCCCAGTAAGAATTGGGATAAGGTTAAGGTTAAATATATATTATTTAATTAGCAAATTAAAATGATCTTCCTGATAATATTGTCTTACTTCGGTTTATTAAGTAAGTGTTCTCCTTTATATTTAAACAAAGCTTTACTAAACCAATATATTGTGGGCGTGTGCAAAAATGATTACATATTACTGCCTTATATATTTTCTGACCTAACAATAGTCGGAAATATATGTTTTTGAATATACCTCAACATATATGATTTTACCATCTCACAGTTAGTAATAATGATGCCAGAAATGAAGATTCAAAAGTACCAGCGAGTTAATAAAATATTGATTTAATGATCTAAAACTGAATTTAATCAGATTTGGATGGATAACATAAGAAAATATTCTCCTTTGGTTGTGGATTTAGTGGAGACCCGGATGTATACCTTTCTGTCTTCTGATTTGATAGGCTGGCGGCGATAGTGTTAACACGGTCAGGAAAATTCCAATATGTAAAGCTGAACTGCATTCAGTTATTCAGATTGCAATTCTTGTGTCATTAAGTAAAGTAGGGCTATTTTTAAAATTATTTTACGCCAATCAAAGCCAGTAAGATGCAAGGTGTAGTGGAAAAGAATTACAAAAATTGTCAAGAGCGAAAAAAAAACTGTTAGAATAGAACACACCGTTAACCATAGCAAGTTCACCATTAAAACGTTGAGTCCTAGTTGACAATCAAGTAGTACAATTAAATTAATGAAGTCGTGATACCAACGACGTATAGTCATAAAAATATGAAATAGGAAAGACAGAGGGAATCCACCTTATAGCGTTGGAAAAGTGACTAAAGTCGAGATACCAGGCCAGGGCAGATAAAATCACAGACAATGCTTCAGATTTTGTCCGGAATCTCAAGATATATAGCTATTGAACCGGACTAGATGTAGAAGCGGTATTAAATGCAGAGACGAATATTGGACTATAAACATGCAAGACGAATTCTAGCGCGTATGTATATATATATATATATATATATATATATATATATATATATATATATATATATATATATATATATATATATATATATATATAAAGTTGTAACCTCTGTCTTTGTGTTTGTTTGTTATCGAACTCCTAGTAGGGTTTTGAAGATAGATCCCCGTAACAAAATACATTCTGAAACTAGATTACCCAGGGTACTTGGATAATTATATTTATATTAATGTTGGTCCCGGGGACCACAAAGCCCCCCTCTGAATTTCTTTTTTTCCTTTTAACATAAATTTAAAATTGAAGAATGAAATTAATCCTATGTTGTTTGGATTAGTATATTTTATTTTAACCAAATGAGGTCTCTGGGATTGCACATTCACCACTGATTTTTTTTTTTACCTTTATTTAAATTAAATGTAAATTTGAACATGTGAATGATCCCATCCGAAATATAAAATATGGAAGCTAGAAGATGAAGGTCACATCCGCAATTTCAAAATGAGACAATATGGACATCAATTTGAGCACTCATATGGTTTTACCTTAAAATACGTATTTGTTGCAAAAATACAACTGCCATATCAATGTTGAAATCTGCTCATCAATTCATTCAAGCAAGTCTTGCATCAAATACATATGAAAGGGGTTAGATGAAACTTTTTTGTATCCCCACTTAATATTGTTTCCCTTTTAATTTAATTAAATTTAATTTTGAACAAGGGAGTGATTCCGATCCAAAATATACAAGAAGAAAGACAGAAGACGTCCGCCAGATCATTGAGTAATAATGAAATGCATCATTTTACTCCATAAATATAACAAAGATTTAAAATCAATCATCATTTTCTTACGAGAAATGTGTGACACGCAGCAAGACTCGGGTAATCCTGCTTGTTGTCGAATAAAAGAGGAATATTTATTTTTTCATATTGTTCCCTACACGCAAAAAAACAAAAAAAACACTTTTCCTTTTCAACTGAAATAATTAAAAATTTTACAAGAATTAAATATTGGCGACTACAGACATAATAACATAAAATATGCAGATGACACTGTGTTAATAGCAGGTAAAAACGGGAACCAACAAGATCCGCTACATAAATTAGTAAGGAAAAGTGAGAAGAAAGGTATAAACATCAAGTGCATTAAAACTGAATATAAGGTTCTTAAAAAAAGAAACAGCCCAACATGCAAATTACAAATCAGAGATGCTGCAATTAGACAGGTGCAACAATTTAGATATCTTCGAAGCGTATTAAAAGAGGAATGGAAAATGCGACATTGAGATCCGAAAGCGCATTGGGATAGTTAATGATGCCTTCCAAGCTAAGCAAAGTATTAAGAAAGAGTAAAATATCGTTAGAAACACAGATAAGTGTATTGAAACTTTATGTCATATCAACCCTCCTCTAAGGCGGTGAATGCTAAACAATCTCCTCAGAGATGAAGAAGAGACTTGAAACAAGCGATATATAGTTCAACAAAGGGACGCTGATAAAACCGGGAGGATTTAAAAAGGGAAAACTTTAGTAAAGTGCCGTTATCAATATCTGAAGAAAAAGATTTTGGCAACCAAAGCGATAATAATGTGACTTCCGCCGAGCCGCCAAATAAGGACCGATAATATTGATGATTTATCTCTGGATTTTATCAATAAATCTCATGATAAATAGTAGAGACACCAGACCATATGTGACAACCATATTTTAAGAATGGACGAAATGTAGAAATAGATATCAAAGAAGGCAAACGTAAATATAAAGCGCAGAGA